CGCACTTGCTGAACTGAACAAATCAGTCATATGGGCGTACAAATATGGTGTTCGCGAGATTGGTCATAACTTTTCTTTTAAAACAAGTTATATAAAACTTGTGTAAGTAGAAGAAGTGTCCATAGTGTCTACACGAGCATATGATGGCTGGTCCTCCATAGAGGCGTCGAGTGACAAGGTAAACCTGACGCTGGTGGAAACCTGGACACCTCTGCTCTACAGCAGAGTACTCCTATGATCAGTGTACTGAGATGGAGTGAAGCCTTGATCTTCTAATCCACCGTGGCATCCTACCAACCCACTGTGGTGCCCTACCGACTCACTGTGGTGCCCCAGTGACCTACTGTGACGCCCCACCACTTCGCCAGCGCCGCCAACATGGCTACTAAGTTTTACCCCGAGACTCTGCGAGGTCTGAGCGTGTCGCAGCTGAGTAGGGTGCTGGCCCCGTGTGATTCCTACGACCACTACTTGGAGTACGAGCCGGGCGCCCTCTCCCTCTCCAGCCAGGACCTGCGAGGCTTCCAGCGCAAGATCAGGTGAGTGCGGTCGGCTACGAGGATGACCTTCCTTACACGTCACTTGCGTATCGATGAGGAAGATCATGGAGGAGTCACGGCCACTGGTTGCTTCATTCTGGAAATATAAATCTTGTAGGGTTATAATTCTGTCTCTATCCCTGTGTTGTAAGGTGTCTTGAGCTGCGACCTCTTATCCCTCCCCTCCATCTTCCTTCCCCACATTCCGGACACTGCCCTTGACACACACACACACACACACGCTCCACCGCGGGTGTCGGTGTGTCTTCTAAGTCTCACTTACTCTGCTTCAAGTCTCCTTTACTCTACATCTTCCCACGGCTCGGTAACCGGGTATATTTAGGTCTGGTGGTGAATGGGGGTACCAGCTGATCATTCAGTCATGTGAGGCGTTCTTGACCGTTATCTTGATGGAATTAGTATGTGTTTTATCAAGTTGAGAATGGAGAGTGGCTGAGGAATAAATGAGTAGATTGGAATATACAGTAGATGGAAGAGCTCAAGTTAGTTTGTTCTTGTATTCTTTGTCACGTTATTTGTAATTTCTCTCTTTGCTTGCAGTTGTTTTCCTTTTACTCCTTTCTCTTTTCTGATTCCTCATTTTAGACTTTTCTCCTTTTCTATCATTTTTAATCACATCCTCCTTCTGTACCTATCCCCTTCCTCTCCCCCTCCCCTAGTCCTATCTCCTAGTCCCTGCACCTCAATCCCTTCCACGATCTCTTCCCTCCCGACCCTCTACCCCCCAACCTCTAACCTCCGTCACCCCGTGTTCCTTCTCATGCTACGCTTTTCACTTTTTTTCTACACAAAATACAGCATTTCTCTTGCACTCTATTCCCTCCCAGTCCCTGTTCTACGTCCCCTGATGCGGCCTGGTCGAGGACCGGGCCGCGGGGACACTAAAAAGCCCCGAAATCATCTCAAGATAACCTCAAGATAACGTCTCTACTACAACAGTTTCTACGTCCAGTCGTCACTCTTCTGTATAACTCCACTGCAACATGATCTTTGCATAATATTTGCACAGCTCACCAACGTCACTAGTCTCTCACGCTTTCCGCCCAAGATCTCTCTCCAGACATTCATCATCACAACTTCGACGCTTCACGGGCGAATAAATATCTTTTGAGAGAGCGACCTACATCGTGCAGTCCAGCCGGGGTCCGTTCTTCGCCAGCCACAGTTACTTCTTCACAGTTACTGTTGAGTCAGTCGTAAGACCGGTGATATATACGACCAGTTTAGCGAAGGAGGCAGACAACCATCTGGGGGATGTGATTGGTGGTGATTACTGCCGTTATATGCTTGGGATTGGACAGAATACCGTTGTTGGGCGGTAAATGTACAGTCAGTCTAGCACAGACACAGGAAATCTCCGTCTCTACTGTCAACTGTCTCAACAGCCTATAGCAATATGGCTATAGGTATTATAGCCATAATACCTATTTAGCTGGCTGGTATACCTATAAAGCTGGTATAGCTTTACCAGCTATAGGTATTATAGCCATAATACCTATAGCTGGTATTATTTAGTCATTTGTCTTGCAGCCTAACTGTTTTGGGAAGGATCTAACATGGTTTATCTACTGTTGGTTTTTAGATTTTAATAAACAACTTGTAATTATACAAACATTATTTTCAAACAATCTAAGCTTAGTTAAGTCTGGATTTGTTGCCTTATTAACACGAGCACTAATTGCTAATGACTTGCTCCACTAGGCTGCTCTGTGCTGAGTTGAGGTCCAGTCATAGATAACACATATCTGAAAGTGAATGCAAAATACCAAATATATATGAAAGATTAAATTATTAACATAATATTGGAATTTATTTGCTACCCTCCAACTAATTTTCTAATATAAATCTCTGCACCAGGGAACAACAACTCAAATTAAATCAAATGTTTTACAAGCAAACATCACCGCTCACACTTGTGTCTTACAGCAGGATTAGAGACCGGTATAAACCAAATTAACAAAAGCACATCAAGGGCTCAGTACCATACTTGACCAGCCAATCCTCCTAAGGTTTCCCAACGTCAATAAACTGTCGTACTAAAGTGCCCTTATCCTAACCTACCAGAGGACCCAAAACAGAAAACGGGACAGTATGTCAATTCCGCGAGCCGCTTCCATTTTCTAGTACGACGATTTTGGCCTTAGGTAGAGTGTACGTCAAAATGTGACGTTCTATTAGAAGGACAGATTGACCTGGCGGCCGCTATTAATGTTCTTTCTTTTCTTATGGAGAGAATGTGGGTCAAGGAACTCTACTTCGTTTTAAAGGTTTCACCACCACCACCTTCCTCCGTCTCGTACCGTCCACTGAGGTCTTAAGTTATATGTTCAAGTAAAGTCAAGAGGTTTGTACAGTGCACCACGAGGGGAAGATCATTTGGTTACGCCGAGAAGCGTTCGCAGGAGCTTTACTGCGATCAGCACACCGAAACAATATTCAGATAACCGGAAACACTACACAAGGCTCGCTGAAGCAGCCTAGTCATGTGCCGGCTGCCGTTGAAGTGTACTCAAGTAGAGATACATAAACCGACTGGTGACCCCAACGTCTCGGTGTGTGTACACTCTCTGAGATTTGTTTAGGATTATGGTACACTTGTGTGTTGGCGGGTACTGTGGTTACACAACCCGTGCGCGTCAATAGTACATCGTATTTTGACGTATAAAACCCCTTAAGGCCAAAAACTGACGTACTTAGAACTATAGAGGTTCTTCACAATCTACTTGTGAATGGTCCAGGACGGACCGAAACGTCGTCGTCCCTTCACCTTCTAGTGTGTGGTCTGGTCAACTTTAGCCACGTTATTGTGACTCATCGCCTGCACATAGAGGTTTGCAAAAATTTACGTGATGTCACGTTTTCTATTCAAGGGGTCGTTGGTTATAGAACGTCGTATTTTGACGTATATTCTACCTAAGTCCCAAAATCGTCGTACTAGAAAATGGTAGCGGGTCGCAAAATTGACATACTGTCCCGCATTCTGTTTTGGGTCCTCTGGCAGGTAAGGATAAGGGCACTTTTAATACAACAGTTTCTTGACGTTGGGGAACCTTGGGAAGACGGACTGATGGGTTAGGTTAGGTTTGGGCAAGTTAGTACATCAGTTTAGTGACGTTGTGAACACTCGAGAGGACTGACTGTTTAATAACCCACCCGCGATTTATTGGCCTTAATAGGTATTGGGCTTAATGCCTACCAAAGTGTGTACAAATATTTTCAATATGGCTCGTTTTCAATTTATTAAAATTATACATATCGTTAGCTTAGTTTAGAGTCAATTATGCTAGATTAAGTTAGGTTGGGTTTGGGTAGAGTAGGCTGAATTAGTCTATTATATGGTTTAATAGGATTGGTTAGGTAAAATAGGTTTTAATAAAAAAATAAAGTCCTACGGTGGTGGCGAAACTTCGTATGTATGAAATGAGTGATAGACCTCCTTGCAACTTATCAACTTTCGTCAATTTCTTGTACAGCCACTAGCACGCATAGCGTTTCGGGCAGGTCCTTAATCCTAATTTTCCCCTGGATACGACCCGTCAAATCGTTAAACAACCAGGTACCCAGTCACTGCTGAGTGAACAGAGGCTACAGTTAAGAATTGGCACCAAGTCAATCCTCCCCGCCCAGGATACGAACCCAGGCCAAAGCACCGGGCGAGTGCTTTACCACTGCACCACGGGGGCTACAACGTGATTTAGCAAGTTGCAATTGCATCACACACGCTCGTTTTGAATGGAGGTACGAGTTACAGTACTGTTACGAAGACGCCGCGAGAGACAACCTGGAATCTCTCACTCTTTAACGCTGATTATCACTGCTTATGGCCGTGAATTTCGCCCGTCTCGCTCTTATGGATAACGGACCTAACAGCAAATAGGAACCTGGGAGTCAGTCAGCAGTCACTTAGTGCGACATTCAGCTGTCGCACTGAACATTCTTGGCCTTGTGCAGTTTACTTGGTTATAATATTCTTGTGTTTACTCAAATCAATATATAACGTATTTTTACCTAATTGTTCTGCGGTCTGAATCTTTTTCCTCAGATACAAATAATATTAAATACATTTAAAAAGCTTTCAAATGATGTTAAAAATTACGTCTTCAATATAAAGAAAGACAGATTTGAAGATATAAAGATAATTAGCACAGGGACAGACTCAAAGAGAGAGATGGAGACATTGATAACAGATGGAGACAGAAACAGAGATCAAAAGACAGTCACTCCGTGAGAGACAAGCAGAGCTTAAGAGCCCCTTGGGTCGTGACACCCCCCCCTTGGGTCGTGACACCCCCCCCCCTTGGGTCGTGACCCCCTTGGGGGGGAGGGGTCCTTTGAGTGTTAGGAAATAATGCCGTTGCTAAAAAAAATGGTTAATTATGAGAATAAATCATCAACTTTAACACAGACTAACAGTTTTTCTCTTTCTCTCTCTGCCTGCAGCACCTACCTGTGGGTGGTGATGTCGGGCATGTACGGGAAGCTGGTGGTGCTCCTCATGCTGGCCTTCTGTCTCACTGAGGTCCTCGACAACACCGTCCTCCCCTTCACCTTCCAGGTACGTCTCTGCCAGTCACCTTCCAGGTACGTCCCTGCCAGTCACCTTCCAGGTACGTCCCTGCCAGTCACCTTCCTGGTACGTCCCTGCCAGTTACCTTCCAGGTACGTCCCTGCCAGTCACCTGCTAGTCTCCTTTCTCTGGCGATAGTAGGTGGGGTAGCATGCAGTCTCCCTGTTGAGACAATATTGTCTCCCGTCAGTTCACTTATTATCGTGTCCTCTAGTTCACTCTCGTCACACTGCCACTCAGACTTGTATCTCATGTCTCTATGGCTCATGCTGTAGTTATTATGCACGTGTGTGTCTCCATTTTCTTTGTATAGAATCCATTACAAATAAGTCCTTGTCTGTTCTATCTATTGCCTGGTTAATTTTATATGTTGTGGTCATGTCTCCCCTAACTCAGTGCCTGTGTAACTTGTTGCAAACATTTAGGTGCTGTGTACTTATTCATTGTTCTATCAACCTAGCAACTGCACCGACCACGTGTTAATTACAGCGTACATCTACAGGGGGTGTTCCTTATGTACCTGTACGTGGGCTCGATCGTTGCAATCATGTGCATCTACGTGTCCGTGATCATCGACAACTGCCCCTCCATCACGGCCAGCAAGGAGAACCTGACTAAGCACGAGGACCCCGAGGTGGGCTCCATCACCTCCTTCGGCACGCTCAAGAGGGCCCACATCTCCCGCTCCAAGACCTCCAGGACATCCTTCTACCTCAGAGTTGGCGCCTTAGGTACGTCTGGCCCTGTGTCTGCTAACTATCCCCCCTCACTCAACTTCCAAAAGCCACCCTCCTCCCCTCCCTTCCCTACTAATACAACACTACTACTATAGTTAATTAGGAAAGAAACCAAAGGATCTCAGATATGAACAGTATAAACGCAGGAGTCAAATAAGAGAGAAAATACCTAGGCGTGTGCATTAACAAGAGACAACAGCTGTACTTCGCACAAAATGTCCTTCACTATTCCGCTCACCATAATTAATCTTCACTATTCACGGTGTATATTTTTTTTAATGTCTTATTAAATATTCTGCTGTTGTTGCTATCAAGGAGCTGTGTGATCTGCTGCTGCTGTCAGAGAGAGCTTTCATCAGCTATCTATTGTGCAGCGACGGCAGGAGTGTTTGGGATAATTGTAGTACAGGATCAATAATAGTGGCAATAATACTGTGTAATATCACTAGTAATAGTAGTACAGCAATAGCAGCCACTGTAGTAACTGCATCAGTGGTAGTTAGTTGTGTTAGGTTTGATAGTAATTATGGTAACACCAATTGTAGTACTGTAGTAGCATTGAAAATAGTAGTAACTCCAGCCTTCCACCACAATCACCACCACATACGATCCTTACCACCACCATCACCCCCACCACCACCATCACCCCCACCCCCCACCATTGTCCACTACCCCCAAAACCCTCCATTATCAATACCAGAGGCACGACGCCCCCCCCCCACCAAGAACCCCAACACTAACAATACCACCACAACCACCACCATATTCACTACCAGCAACAACCAGGTACCTCACCACAATCACTAACCCCCACCAAGACCCTCTCCAACAACAACAACAATAACCTAACCCCCCCCCCTTCTCCCTGCCCCTAGTATTTGGTCTGGGCACCCTCATCTTCAACGGACTCGAGATCGCCATGCACTCCACCATGAAGAGCGAGTGCGTGAAGGACATAGTCTTCGCCCACCCCATCCTGCAGGCGCTCTTCACCTTCCTCCAGATGCACTTCCTCTTCGTCAACTCGGAGGTGAGGAGGGAGGGTGGGAGGGAAGGATGGGGATAGAGGAAGCATCGGAGAGAAATGGTGGAAGGAGAGAGAGAGAGAGAGAGAGAGAGAGAGAGAGAGAGAAGGAGGGAGAGAGGGAGGGAGAGAGGGAGGGAGCGTGTCTCAATATACTGTGCTATATGACTGAGGAGTTACGTCATGCTATAATATATAAGGAAAATGTTTATTTAAATAAAAGATGATAATAACAAATGCTGCCCTCAACACCCGGCACTGTCCTCACCTGTCTCACTTCTCATCTCTCATTATACTCAAGTGTCTCTCCTCACCTCTCATTGTACGCACATGTCTCACTCCTCACCTCTCATTATATTCACCTGTGACTGCTCACCTCAAATTACACGCACCTGTCTAACTCCTCAGCTATGGTCTCCCCTCACCTCTTACTGCTACCCATTCTATGTCTGCACATTGTAATTACTTTTGAAAGCTATCCAATACTTGATTTGTCATATTATAGGCCACCTGGCACTGGTATAGCTCACCTGGCACTATTATAACTCAACTGGCACTATTCTAATTGGCTTGAGGGGTGCCGTTGTTGTCACAGGTGATCGTGGAGAAGTTCGGGCAGGTGGCGAGGTTCGGCTTCATGCACCTGGTGGCCACCAACATCGCCATCTGGATCAGAATGGTGGTGTGGGAGTCCGCCACCGTCTGGATAGAGGATACCTACGCTTACAGTAAGTGACTCTCACACCTCCCTGCTCCTCACACCCACCCCTCACTGCCCCCTCACACCCTTGCTAAACCTCCCGGGCCCCCTCACTAAACCTCCCGGGCCCTCACTAAACCTCCCGGGCCCTCACTAAACCTCCCGGGCCCTCACTAAACCTCCCGGGCCCCCTCACTAAACCTCCCGGGCCCTCACTAAACCTCCCGGGCCCTCACTAAACCTCCCGGGCCCTCACTAAACCTCCCGGGCCCCTCACTAAACCTCCCTGCCCCTCACAACCTCATTGGTTGAGGGCTTGTGGTCAACAACCAGAGAGTGAGCGGCCTGGCTAACGCCACGTCGTTGTGCGAGACGGTATCTCAATGCTGGTGGATATTGATGCCCTAAGAGTCACTAATGTTCAACATTGTATTATATTCATATAAGTAATAGAGAATAAGTCATTGTTAAAAGATAGCACTAAACTAGTCTGGCCTTACAGTGCGTCGCTCAGATTCACAACGTGATCGAAGTTACTTGTATGAGCTTCGTCAGGCCTATATGGGAGAAGGACATTGTTATCTATATATAAGGGATATGATTCACCGAGCAGTTTATCAAGTGACAGTTGCTTTATTGTTGAGAAGCCATTTGTGTAAATTGGGTGATTGTACTTAGAAGTGACTTTGGGGCGGGACAATGGGTGCTCTAGGTCAGTCTTGGCTTAACGACAAGTAATCTGGTTAATAAAATTGCCCATTTCCTATTTAGGCTATTTGAGGACGGGAAGAAAATGAAATAATCAGGAGCATATACTAAGTCAATAAGAATATACACCACATATGGAAGGAATGTGAGGAGAGGATAGGAGGCCAGGTCTACTGCCCAGGTGTCCAACACCTGGACAGTAGACCGTCCAACTCCTGGACGGTCTACTGTCCAACTCCTGGACAGTAGACTGTCCAACTCCTGGACAGTAGACTGTCCAACTCCTGGACAGTAGACTGTCCAACACCTGGACAGTAGACCGTCCAACTCCTGGACGGTCTACTGTCCAACTCCTGGACAGTAGACTGTCCAACTCCTGGACAGTAGACTGTCCAACACCTGGACAGTAGACTGTCCAACTCCTGGACAGTAGACTGTCCAACTCCTGAACAGTAGACTGTCCAACACCTGGACAGTAGACTGTCCAACTCCTGGACAGTAGACTGTCCAACTCCTGGACAGTAGACTGTCCAACACCTGGACAGTAGACTGTCCAACACCTGGACAGTAGACTGTCCAACTCCTGGACAGTAGACTGTCCAACTCCTGGACAGTAGACTGTCCAACTCCTGGACAGTAGACTGTCCAACTCCTGAACAGTAGACTGTCCAACACCTGGACGGTCTACTGTCCAACTCCTGGACAGTAGACTGTCCAACTCCTGGACAGTAGACTGTCCAACACCTGGACAGTAGACTGTCCAACTCCTGGACAGTAGACTGTCCAACTCCTGAACAGTAGACTGTCCAACACCTGGACAGTAGACTGTCCAACTCCTGGACAGTAGACTGTCCAACTCCTGGACAGTAGACTGTCCAACACCTGGACAGTAGACTGTCCAACTCCTGGACAGTAGACTGTCCAACTCCTGGACAGTAGACTGTCCAACACCTGGACAGTAGACTGTCCAACTCCTGGACAGTAGACTGTCCAACACCTGGACAGTAGACTGTCCAACACCTGGACAGTAGACTGTCCAACTCCTGGACAGTAGACTGTCCAACTCCTGAACAGTAGACTGTCCAACACCTGGACAGTAGACTGTCCAACTCCTGGACAGTAGACTGTCCAACTCCTGGACAGTAGACTGTCCAACACCTGGACAGTAGACTGTCCAACTCCTGGACAGTAGACTGTCCAACTCCTGGACAGTAGACTGTCCAACACCTGGACAGTAGACTGTCCAACTCCTGGACAGTAGACCACACCGCTATGCCACGAAGGTCATGGGGATAAATATATAAATATTGTGTTGTGTGACGTAAATTAGTAGTTGTGGCTCGCCACTTTCCATTGTCGATTTTTTTTTCATTAAAATGATTCTTGAGTAAAGTCAGAAAATGATATGAGTGTAATAATGATTATGTGTATGAACGGTCGTTTGGCTTGCTTTCTCTGCAAGTTCTTTTTAGGCAATGCCTATATTACTGGGGTAATAACTAAAGCATTTGTAGTTATATGTCTGCTTAAGGGGAGACACAGCCAGTGTTCAGTTTCAATTATATTGGGATTTAGAAGTAGCTGAACATTCCATGATCGAGTTTAAAATTAGAAACAATCGAAATTAAAAGGAGTTGGGGAACAGTCACACTAATTAATTAAATGTGGAAAGTCGAGGACCCAGGAGCTAAGTGTGAGTCCCTGCAAGCACAGGTAGTGGGGCCACCCACCTCTTTAACATGCTATTGGTACTACGGTACAGAGCCAGCAGGCGAGGTCCCGCAGCAGGCGGAGCAGGTGCTGCGGCTGTACTCCTGCTTCCAGAACAACACCCTCGGACGCCTGTGGACCGACGCTCAGCCCTACCTCTTCCCCTTCCTCGTCCAGTATAGGTGAGGCTCCAGCAAGTTCTTCTCTTCCCTTCCTCGGCCAGTATAGGTGAGGCTCCAGCAAGTTCTTCCCTTCCCTTCCTCGGCCAGTATAGGCGAGGCTCCAGCAAGTTCTTCCCTTCCCTTCCTCGTTCAGTATAGGTGAGGCTCCAGCAAGTTCTTCCCTTCCCTTCCTCGTCCAGTATAGGTGAGGCTCCAGCAAGTTCTTCTCTTCCCTTCCTCGTCCAGTATAGGTGAGGCTCCAGCGAGTTCTTCCTCCTTTTCTCCATGCCTCTCTTCCTTTCCCTATATCCTTATCCTCTACCCTCCTTCCTCCTCCTCCTCCTCCTCCTCCTCCTCCTCCTCCTCAGCCGCTCTCTTCACCCTGTCAAAAGCTGACTACACCGTCAGCAAAAATTTGTTGTGGTCTAATTTAACTTTTTCTGATTTAGTAACATGTTATTTAGAAATTTTTCCATAAGAAGCCAAACTAGAATTTCATTCTAAATATATATTATTATTTATGAAGGTTTTGTTCATTTTAGCTGATTATAAATTAATACAAGAAATAGTACTATGATTTATGTGTATGGTGTTTTTGTAAACAAAAATTTATAATAACAAAATTGGTAAAGACTAGGTATTTAACTTGTGTTAAGACTTAGCACCAAGTAAAGACTTAACTGTTAAGACTTAACACCAGGTAAAAACTTAACTGTTAAGACCTAACACCAGGTAAAGACTTAACTGTTAAGACTTAAGACCAGTACGGGACGGGTGGCGTGGTGGCGCCGACCTGGCCACGCTCACCACCACACCAACTCTCCTTTCCCCTTGGTGCATGGCGTGACCTAGCTCTCTCTCCCTCTTAACCTGACGGGCACATTTATCAACTGCATGACGTTCATGACTGGGCCTGTGGAGGTACTTTTAAGAATTTAGGCAATACTCTTTGGGTTCTAACTTAGGATTGGACTCATTCTGGTAGACTTCGACTCGTACTCGTGGCTTCTTCTGGTAGACTTCGACCCGTCCTCGTGGCTTCTTCTGGTAGACTTCGGCCCGTCCTCGTGGCTTCTTCTGATAGACTTCGACCCGTCCTCGTGGCTTCTTCTGGTAGACTTCGGCCCGTCCTCGTGGCTTCTTCTGGTAGACTTCGGCCCGTCCTCGTGGCTTCTTCTGGTAGACTTCGGCCCGTCCTCGTGGCTTCTTCTGGTAGACTTTGGCCCGTCCTCGTGGCTTCTTCTGATAGACTTCGACCCGTCCTCGTGGCTGCTTCTGATAGACTTCGACCCGTCCTCGTGGCCGCTTCTGGTAGACTTCAACCCGTCCTCGTGACTTCGTCTGGTAGACTTCGACCCGTACGTCAGACCTTGTACTGGTTTTCGGTGTTCACTGCCGCGTTTGCTAATATCATAAATATAATACTTTCTTAAAAAAAATACCGAGTCGAAGTTAGCTATATTGTACTCGTTCTTATTAGTGTTGGTGTCGACCACCGTCAGGTCTGGCGCTGCCGGCGCTCCATCTACGGCTGTATACTCCGAGAGGTGTACTCAACTTCTCAGTGTTTGTACACCGAGAGTTTACTTAAAGAGTCCTGGACGACGTTTAGGACTAGAGTATACTTGTAGGTGGGTCAGTGAGCTCTAGTGTAGTCTTTAACAACCCTCCAGAGGTTGGTAGGCCTGACACCCAATACCTGACCGGATCTAGGTGCAGCGGGGCCAGCTTAATGGTTCCCCATTTGTCCATAGTACTTTAGATTGTAGTACCCTGGAGTACCTTCTCTCATTCGTGGTACATTGGCGTACGCAGACGCTATGTACGTAAGGTACATTGGCGTACCTTACCCAGCCCTCACGCATAGTACTCTGGTGTACCTTGCCTATTCCTTACACATGGAGGTACCCTGGTGTTCCTTAGTCTCACACATGGTACTCTTGAGTACCTTACTCTCACCACACGCATGGTACCCTAGAGTACCTTACCCGTCCCCTCACTTATGGAATCTTGGGTGTTACCGAATTAAAATAACTTCCAGATATACCCTAAAGGGATATAGTTTGTTACATAAGGCAAGGTCGCTGAATGATACCAGTCTACTAGTTTCTAGTAACTAGTATGTTGAGAATGTTGAGGGTGCACGTGTGGCCCAGTCGCATCCGTTAGCGTGGCTCTGGGCCGACGGATAGCTCGGCCAAGATCCTGTGGCGGTAATAAGATAAATATGATGTGACTTGATGCCTTTAAGTTAGCATACAGCCAGTGGTGACTTGGCCCATACACGACGACATCACAGTGACTTGTGTTACCGAGTATTCGACTAACTCAAATCACTGAACTATGGAGATACTGGATATATGGGCCTTGTAAGTGTCAAGTGTATTGTAGGATAATAGGTCTGTAGTACTGGCAACTGTGGTATCAATGGAATGGTTTTAAAATCATGAAGTTAATTCAGTAATGGTTGGGGGAGACATCTCCCGTCACGCAGGGTGCAGTCGCACCTCCACAGATCTCCAGTATCAGCTAATGATTCTGGTAATGGCTCAAAAGGGCCACCACTTACGGGCTACTCATGCCCATGCCACCTTTTGGGTGGCTTAATCTTCATCAATCAATCAATCGGTAATAGTTTTGTTAAGCAAAACACGGACATATTGCATGCCCTGTCCTCACACTTGTCCACAAGTTTCGGCTTTTCACGTACATATTCTTCACTCAAAATGTGTGGTGTGTGTGTACGAGCAACATTATCTTGGTGCGGAGCGGGGGTAGTGCGGCGTCGTGTTCTGTCACTCATATTTGGCGCCACCGCTACAGTGACTCTTGTCGGGGCCACAACTCTTGATTGACGTGAATGTTGCCTCTTCTCGCACCAGCGACGGTGCCCAAGATGTCTCACAGAGCGTGACGACGCAGTATAGATCTTGCTGCTCATACAGATCTTCTGGACGCATAAGATTGAAACCCCTTTGAAGAAACTGGAATGTTTACACGTCAAAGGTACAGGGACTTTTGGGTCACTAGGAAATGCCAATCAAAGCGACTATAAAATGACTTGATACCTCGCATTGTGAACTCTTAAATACCGACAGAATGACTGATCCGTCGTACTGCCAACTAAAGAACCGACAAAAAATAACTTAAGTTAGGTGAAGTCTTTATTCCCTCAGGAACCCCTAACAGTTTGAGAAGTCAGAAGGAAGCCACTGAACCGACCAGACACCCTTGCTTGTCCTCTCAGTGGTATTTGCAGGTTCCATTTTGACTGTGAAGAACAATGGAAATGGGAAAGGAAGGAAGGATGCATGAAAGGAACTAGTGGAGGAGGAGGAGGAAAAAGAAGAGGTCATCAAGGCGAGAAGGACGTTCCTCCTTATGTGGACGGTGGGGAGGCGTCTTCGCACTCCCTGCCTGGTTGTTTGACTGCGGTATTGTCTGGTGTCTTGTCCACGTGTACTGGTTTGGTAGTGTACTATCGCTTGTTTGGTTTTGGCTTTGCATGGTTGCTAATTTAGCTAACTATGGATTTGTATGGTTGCTTGGTTGGCTGGCTATGGTACTGTATGGTTGCTAGGTTGACTCTTTTGTGGCTGATGAGCCTGTGTATGGTTGTGGTATTGTACGGTCGCTTGGCTGGCTGTCTGGTTATGATAGTGTATGGTTGGTTGTTCTGTTGCAAATCTGTCTATAGTATTGTATTGGTGCTCGCTTGTTTGTATGGCTGTGGCATTCTATAGGTTGCTTGGCCACTCATAACATTGCTTGAATATATGTAAGTGGCATTATTGTCAGCTTAGGTGGCCATCATTTTATTCACGTGTATTAGAGGCGCGTGACAATATGTTGTATGTCTGGACGCCATCAAGGCCTACGACACTGTTCCACGTGAGAGGTTACTTAGGAAGATCGAAGCGCGCGGCATCGGATGGAACGCAAGTAAGCCTTGAGCCAGAGCTTTGGTTAACAGGAATTAAACAGAAGGTCAGCATAGATGGAGTAGAATAGGAGTGAATAAAGGGAACTAGTGGTGAACCGCACGGCTCTTTATTGAGCTCACCACTGCTTTTAATAATTTACATCATCGACATTGATACTGAAGTGACCAGTAATATCAGCAAGTTTGTGGATGCCACAAAGGCTTAACCTATACTTTATACAAAAGAAATCTTGGATGAACTGCAAAGAGACTTTGACTCCATTTCTGGTCGAAAGAATAGCAAATGCAGTTTAACGCTGAGAAGTACAAATTTCTCAATCTAGGGAAAGACAGCGATGCTGTATAACATAGAAATAATATAGTGATGGATAGATCAAATTATGTGAGCCTTAGTGATGTTAGCAGCGATCGGAGGCCGAGACAGCTAGGCAGGAAGGCGACGAGGCACAACAACGTGGCTGAAGATATGACAACCAAACCACACGCGTTTGGTCGTGTCTTCATCTTCTGGTGTGTGTGTGTGGGTCATCACAGCCAGGCATCAAGGCACGAAGTAAAACAAGCAGGATGCTGGGATTGAGATTAAGACGCAACAGCAACGGAAGCACGAATACCGTGATGACCAACTCACACACCAGAAGATGGAGAGACGACGACGTTTTGGCCCATCCTCGACCATTATCGAGTCGTGAGAGAGAAGACAGGAAGGAAGGTAGGAGCAACTATATAATGTAAGAGAGTAAAATGAGAGGAGAAGATCAGGTAAGAATAAGGCAAGAATAGGTTTAATGTTAGAATAAGGTAAAAATAGGATGAATGAATAACATCCTTCAGCTGAATCTAGCTCTAGTTAATAATGATGATAATTAGTAATGGTAACGTCTTCTCACAGACATAATAACACAGGATAAAAGCCCACACTTGTGTATTTGGGAAACATATGTGAGGAATTTACATCAAGTGTTTCTCACTCTCCTGAGTGTTTTATCAAGGTCTGTGTTCCTTACATTAATTTCACAAATACACAAGTGTGGATTTTTATCCTAAATAATAATAATAATAATAATAATTCCTTAGAAATTAAATAATACTAATGACTTCGCAATAGAGATTAAGTAATTGTAATATGGAAATTACCTTTCAGCTTATTTTTTCTTTAGTTTATAATTAAGTAGAGTTGAGTTACGAATTACTTCATGATGCATGAGTTTAGTAGTTTGTGTGGGGTTTTAGCCCACCTTTCTGTGCACCGCCTGATGCAAGACTCACCAGTCTGTGGCTCTACCTTACCCTTGTGTTCTGTGCTTCACCCAGAATTGAACCATCAGTCTGTGGCTGTAGTTTCCCTTTCACCGCAGCTTTCTCCATTAGCCTCACTACGCTCATGACCATTATGACAATCACCACCACCACCACCACCACCACCACCATCACCACCACCACCACCATCATCATCATCACCACCACCACCAGCCAACATTCACTCACCTGAGCCTTATTACAGCTTGATAGCGGCGGCCGTGACCTACATCATGTGGTGCAACGTGGGCAAGGAGAAGCTCAAGAAGCTGGGTCGTCTGGGCAAGGCGGGCATGGAGGACTCGGCCACCCTCGACAAACGCTGCGTCAGGAAGGGCTACTGGAAGGTGGGTGGTGAGGTACTGGACGCATCCTGGCGCCAGTCTTCCAGCTTTTCCATCTCTGTTATCTTGTTTCCTTGCTCTTCGGGGACCTGTCTGTACGTCACAATGAAATCACAATTATAACATATATATGAGAAGATATTAAAGCCGTACAATGGAATCGAACCTGCGCAAGTGGACCTCTCATGCACACGCACTACTGACTGGACCATGATGAGCTTAAAGAGCACCCAACCCAGATGTACTACTTGTCTTGCATAGAGTTTGCAAGCCACCATCCACAAAAGACTAAAACCAGTGCGAAAAGAAGGAAAACTCTACCTTCATTTAAAACTTTGACCCAAATATCATAGTAACAAGGTTATAGTGAATAATCGAACTCAATTACGGGCTCACTCTAGCCCGTGCTACATGAACATTTTGTTCAGAGTAGCTGAATCTAAAACGGTAACAACAGCTTCATCCGATGCGCGTTTCATCCCGTTGTTTGGCTTCAATATTTTCTCTTGTATGCAATGGCCTTCCTTGACGTATTGAACACCGGCACTGAGCACTTTTTATCCACGTAGAGAAGTGCAATATATGCACTGACTTGACTTAACGACAGGGCTCCCATGACCGCAGGTTCTAGTATGAAATGCAGATTTTTTTTATAGGAGAGAGACCAGGATGCTCAAGGGGTCTTCTCAAGTCCACCGGGAACTGGGCTCGAACTAGAATATCCTTCGAGGATTTACCTCGTTTCCATGCTATAAGGAGGGGCTCTGAAGGAAAGAACCCCCTTCCTCCCCCCTGCTGGATGTTTGCTGAACTGTTTCTTCAGCCATGCCCAGAGGGTATTGATTTCCTTTCGAATACCCCCTGAGACAGGGGGTTGTATAATAATCCCCGAGACAGAGGGGTTGTATAATAGTCCCTCTGGATCGCCACACTGAAGCTCTGGAAAAGAAAGCTCGCCGCTCTTGGGTGTCTTATTGTTGCGATGAGCCTGGAACCAAGATCCTTAAGAAACCTTACACTCGCTCTCCATGGATCAGGGTCTCAGATCCTATTGGAACGAAGTTGTACCAGTGATCTGTTTCCCTATACTTGAATGATATGTCTGTGTGCAGGCGATGAGTCATAATAACGTGGCTGAAGTATGTTGACCAATACACATATTAGAAAATGAAAGGACAACGACGTTTCGGTCCGTCCTGGACCATTCCCAAGTCGATTGTCCGACAATCGACTTAAGAATGGTCCAGGACGGACCGAAACGTCGTCGTCCCTTCATTTTCTAGTGTGTGTGTGTGTGTGTGTGTGTGTGTGTGTGTGTGTGTGTGTGTGTGTGTGTGTGTGTGTGTGTGTGTGTGTGTGTGTGTGGCCGGGAGTTCTGCTTGACCAACAAAGAGGTTGATGTATGTGGCTGCCATGATGGATACGCAAGTATGGTCCCACGCTAATTGCCTGCCATTTTTCTTTGGGTTCAGTGTGGTCGTCCCATCTGGTCGGCCAGCAACGCCAGCAGAATTATGGTTCATTAAATTGCGAGGCTCTCTCTTTGCTGGACACTGGGTAGAGGCAAGACTCCTCTTAATGATACCATAGACTTCGTCATGCCTTGAGTGCCAACCCCATGATTTTCCGCAATGAAGGACTTACTATCTATATTCGTAAAAAAATTCAAAGAACATCTAAAAAAAAGTTTCACATGGACACTAACCATTTTGATTTTGTTACAGGTTGACTGCAGGTCGGCCTCCAAGGGGCTCTTCCTGGGCCTGCTGTGTCTGGTGGGCGGCGTAGTCATCCTCATCATTTTCTTCGTCATGAAAGACCAAGAAGACTTCAAAACGAAGATGTTCTGGATGTGCAACGGCACTCAGATGATCATTCTCTCCCTCTCTATTATCTGCAGCATCATCGGGTTCCTACAGATCCCTAAGCTCTCCATCTCCACCACCAAGCCCCTCGACCTCGACCGCCTTCTCCTCTCGTCTACCATCATCGGCGTCTACGTGTTCGCCGTCTTCGGAATGATCGTGGGAGGTATTAACTACACCCAGTCTGAGTACATGGCCACGTTCTGCGTCCACGGCTTGCTCTTCGTGCAGGTGAGATCTTTCTCCTAGTTTCCACTTCGCTGTTTGGTCTTGAGATCTTAATCAGGGGCATCAACGAGTAATTTAGCCATGTGTAGCATCAATGTGATGTATAATGTATATATATATTTGTTGTGTGTAATTATTCCTGGGTATCAGTCTATAGGCAGAGTTGAGGTCGGCAGTAACTTGGGGCATATTAAGTCTGACTGAGAACAGTAAAGCAATAATGAAGATAAATGTATTATATATCATTGGATAAAGTAAAACGTGAAATATATTTTTATATCTGACCCAAAACTATCTCCAGTAGAAGCGAGGGTAAATGTACTTGATGAGAGGAACAGAACAAACTGTTGACATGTGTAGGCATGTGGAGAGCCAGTGTTTTGGTGACGAGGGGGACCAGTGACGAGCTCCCACCTGCGGGGGTGTTAGAGCCAAGTAAAAACTGGCAGGAAAAGTGTATCGATGCTCAAAATATACAGATTTTTCAACCTTAAAACTTCTGCCAATTATTAGAAAATAAGTATTCGCTTTAATTTATTGCCATTTAAAATAATTTGTTTGATGTGAATTCGTTGTAATGCCTTTCACTTGCAAGTGTATGATTGTGCAAGAGACAAGAGAGCAGGGGTGGCTGAGAGCCGACCATTGCACAATAAGACATACAGAAGTGAAGCATCATATCCTTTCAGGATCAAATGAGTCACATCACTAGCAGCTGCCTCACAGGCTGGGCGCAGTAATGTGGGTGAGCAGAAGTGAACTCCATACCAGTGAGTGCAAGTGGTGTGAAATGAGAAGTGAGTGTATTTGTGTGTACTACACATGACAGCTCTCAAGGACCACTATGTACACTTTGACTCATGAAGCGCTGGAGTCACTGCTGTGACCGTTTGCTAGTGTGACGTTGTGCTTCTTGTTAAGGATCGGTGCCCTGTCAATCCTTCCCCCGGCCTCTAATGCTGAGTGGTATTAATGGTTTAATGAATGGACAATTGGCATTCTTTTTAACATAAACAACCCTCTTTCATTATATTGTCCCTTTCCTCGGGGCTAAGCTAACCCACCCTCCCTTCCCCTCCTTTCTAGTAAGGATTGATTAGGATGCCAAGGAAGCCTTAATTGAAGCTGTACATCTTGAATATCTAGTAGGCAACAACAGTCAATAGAAACCTTGATTTATAGTTGCAACAAACGTGCAAGTATGTCAGTACTTGTGTGCGTTGTGGAGGGTAAACAACGTGTGTCATTTAAGCCTGCCTGCAGCATGACCATGTTGGCCAGTTGGCAGAAAAATATGTATCCTAGTCCTACCTCTTAACTATGTATTATGATCCTGCTTCTCTTAACTACTTATCAGGATCTTGCCTCTCTTAATTATGAATCATTATTATTCCCCCCTCTCTTAACTATGTATCATACTCCCTTTCTTAACTATGTGCCATTATACTTCCTCTCTTAACTGTGTCATTATACTTCCTCTCTTAACTATGTATCATGATCCTCCCTTCCTCTCCCCATCCGCAGGTATCACTCCAGGACATGCTGGTGGCCGAAGCAAGCCGACGCACCTGTTCCTCCAGGTACCAGATGCTAACTAAGCCGGGTCGACAGGTGATCACCTTCCTGTTGTTCGCCAACATCACCTTGTGGATCCTGGACACCTTTATGACACACACGAGTGTCTCGCAGCAGTTCCAGTTCGGGTTTTACGGAGTGCTGGCGTGGGGCATCATCTCTCGCATCTCCCTCCCGCTCCTCATCCTCTACCGCTTCCACTCCGCTGTCATACTGGTGGAGATCTGGAAGAACACGTACAGGACTAAGGCTGCCTAGGAGGCGTCACCTACAGCCAGTCTAGAACTAAGTGGCCAGGCCCATCTTCTTAACCCCAACACACGAAATATTCCCATGTGTGTCGCAAACTCTTGCTCACACCAAACACACCTTGATTCTGCTTCTCAAACGTTAACCTGTTGTAATATCTACGATTCTTTCTCACGCCTATCCACTTCACATACACATCGTTCTCACCAACTTGCCCCTCTCATCCCTTCCATTCTACACAAGTCTTTCTCTCGCTGTGAACCTCCTCTTCCAGTGTCCCTTGGCTCCCGCCACCCTCCTGGCAGAGGTCTTGGGAGTTCTCCCTCCGAGACCTCGTCTGCCACCTCCCGCCTGTCTGCCTCCATCCCCGTCCTGACGCAGGTGATAAGGTTCACCCCCGACCCTATGACTCCCCCTCGACTAAATGACCAGTTAGACTTGTACAACTTTTCTCAGGACTCACTTGTGCAGCCTGCTGTACAGCGGGCTGCACAAGTGATGACAAGTAATGTATTTCACGACACACCACACATGACGCTAGTCTCACCAGCTGCAGGTAAACACAATGATGACATGAAAGACCGAGTGAAGCGTAGAGACCAGAAGCTGAGGAGACTTATGTTTGGTGACAGCTCAACGTTACTGAGACAGCGTAGCTTAGTCATAAAGGAACTGATGGTGGGTCATGGCCACCAGGGCTGCCTCATGACCACTAAACCTGTTCAAAATGAGCTTAGAAAACTACTCAATAAGACTATGAGATTAAAGTCAAAAGACAGGAGAAGAGCTCCCTCAATTGAGAAGCTTCGCCGGTGGGTGAAGAAGAAGCGTAGCAGAAGTGAAAACTTGGTAAGTATTTTAGATTCCGGCACTACAAGGGGAGACTGGAGACGCATCGGTACGGACAGCCTAGGGGACATTAGTAGACAGGGCTCCCCTCAGCAGTCCGGGGCGAGCAGTGGCTCTTACTTGACACCCATACCTGTGACACCCTCCCGACATAACCAACGACAGACCCGACACCCGACATCCCTTAGACGCTCACACTCAGAACGGAGCAACCAAGAAAGGCATGGCAGGCCAGAACAGATCTTACAAGATAATTCACCAAATCACGGAAGTGTGAGACACAGTAGAAGGGCACGTTCCTTTAGAGAAAGGTCACGTGATTATGCTACACAGAGCACCAGTGACAGAATTTCAGACCTTTCAGAGACCGAAGGGTTTGCGCAAAATACCTCAAGGAAATGCAAGAGGAATCAGTTTTCATTAAGGAGACGAGAAAATGCCGATTACTCCAGTCACAAGCCTAATGCCGTCTCTGCTTACTACAGAGAACATATGTTAGCGAGACGTCACAGCGAGCGTCAGCGCCATGTATCTCCTCCTGAAGGCTCGTGCTGCTCTTCCTGGAGCAGGGCACCGTCGTCGTCACCTCCAAGAACATTTCAGACAGAGAGTTCCCGTCCATCCCACTATGGAGGCTCTGCTTCACCGCGGCCTCGGTCTCGGCTACAGCGGCTACGTCAGGTGTGGCAGGAGGACGATATCTATGCCCTCAATCCCTTCGATTCATGGCGCCTCCGTCATTTGCCTACCCACACCTGTCCACCCACGCCGCACCCACAACGCCAACGTAAAAATCAAGGTGACGTAGGGCTCGGTGCCCTGCTTCCTAACCGAGCGCCTATTAGGCAACAAATTCGAAACTCTTGGAGAATGAAGAGATATACGCCTTCGCCTTCTTCCACTCACCAGTACGATTATGGTGACACTGACTCCCCTCCGCCATCTCCTACTCAGAGGTTATCTCACCTGCTCCCTCACCCCACTGACATCATCTTCCGTAAACACCCTAATGAGAGCCCTTACCCTAACCCTCAACTGTCAGGGCCGCTCAACCCTTTCCACTTAGAGGCCTCGCCCCTCGTCCTGGGCTGGCTGCAGGTGCCCAGCAACGCCAACGACCCCACCAAGAGCATGATGTTCCGCAAGGCACCGTGGCTCAACCATCTGCAGTTCCTCGGTAAATGATATGTGCCTTCCATAGATTCTTGCCTGCACCCAAGTCGCACCTCGTAGTACACACACACACACACACACACACACACACACACACACACACACACACACACACACACACACACACACACGCACACGCACACGCACACGCACCCACGCGCCACACTGTCTCCTTTACCAGGGGTACCACCCTGGTGGTGAGCTCTGTACCTGTCACCCTGATGATGCTCTCCCTCCCTGTCTCCCTCTCCTTTGTGGTGCTCTGCCTCCCACCGTCACCCTGGTTGTGCTCTCCCTACTACTGTCACCCTGATGGTACTTTCCGTCCCATCATCACCCTGGTGGTGTTCTCCCATCTACCGTCACCCTGGTGGTGATCTCCCTTTACCGTCACCCTGGTGGTGATCTCCCTTTACCGTCACCCTGGTGGTGATCACCCTTTACCGTCACCCTGGTGGTGATCTCCCTTTACCGTCACCCTGGTGGTGATCTCCCTTTACCGTCACCCTGGTGGTGATCTCCCTTTACCGTCACCCTGGTGGTGATCTCCCTTTACCGTCACCCTGGTGGTGATCTCCCACCTACCGTCACCCTGAACGTCACTCTGGGGGTAGTCACCCTCCCATCGTCACCACGGAGGTGGAGACATCCTTGCCCCCCTCCTCTCTCCCCTCTTCTCCCCTCACCACAGTCGAGGCATCAGTGTGGACAACGTGTTGATATTGTAGTTTTCAGTAGTGTTCCCCTCGCCTCGCGCGTCACCAGCTGGTTATTTGTTTATTATGTATCCCCCTGTGTTATTGTATTAGTAATTATTGTTGATTAGTTGTTAAGTTGAAGCCATACAGACTCTGTGAAGTTGTGGCCCACTTGTTCACAGACTTCACTTCAAAAGTGATGAGCAGGGTTCCCATCTGCTTAACGTAATTCACTCTCTATACAGCTTTAGTTCGTATAGTTGATCTTTGATACAATGTTTGTTGTGCATTTGTTTGGAATTTTAGTGTAAGATAGTCAAAAGTGTTACGTATGTGTGCCTGTTTGACTGCCAAATGTAAAGTGTTTAGATGTGTATGTGTTGCCAATAATGTAGATATTATTGACTATGTGAGACACATTTGTTATTTATTGTCCATCTTCATAATAGACTGTATTGGTATCGGTAATAAATTAATGCAAATTTTGTGTTTGAATGAGGGTTCCGGGTTTAGTAATGTACATAGGCTTTTTATTATTGTTAATTATGAAATAAAACACCATATAGCCTACTTCACAGCCTTCAGTAATATCCTTGCAATATACATGTTCTGAAACCGTTTGATAGTTTCAATCGCAATTTAGACACGAATATTTGAATGAGTTTGACCGAGGCCATATGGCCATAAATGTATAAGTAAATATGTTCATGATAGTTACTGTGTATATTTAGCATAGGAACAATACAACATCTAGTGAGGAGAAGTTGATGGTTAGCCGTACCGTTTTGGCACAGGTGAATACGTACAAGTACAGGGCTTCTGACTCCTTGTTAGCAGGCGGAGAGCTGTCCCTTCCCAGAGCTCATGGTAGGCCTTACACTGCTAGTTTTCTCTGGAACACACTACCCACCAGTGGGTTAACCATCAGGTAGGTAATTATTGTGGGTGAACAATTAAGGTTTGGCGCCCAGTCAATCTTCTCCGGCCAGAATCGAACCCAGACCAGATTGCTGGCGAGGCGCGGACAAGAATGGTTTAGCTACGGACCCTAAGCTTCCCAACATTCATCTGGAAAAGTCAATAAAGATTTGGCAATTATTGGATCTATCATTCCTGTACAAGTAATTTACATATTATGGTTAAAATATAAAAATAATATATAAGATACTTGTATATTATTTTGATTACTAAGCTGTAATCATGATCACACTGCTGCCATCACTTATAACACCGTATAATTTTAATAGAATGCCATCAGTTATAACATATTCAAATTAACTTAAAACTGAATGCATACTTGCTTACAGCAACTTAAATCTTAGCTGCCACCACCTTCACTCTTACTAAAATTAATTACTTTCGATAATTACTTTTAATGGGGGGTGAAGGATGCCAGTTTGCTGCTGGGTTGGAGATATTAATTACCGTACTGTAGGTGCCGGGGCACTAAACTTTGAACAGCAGCCTAATACAACCTGCTCCAGTACTTACACAGGCACAGGGGTTGGGGGGGCGGAGTGCCCAGAACCCCCCACTGTTGACTGACATTTAAATAATTCTCTCCACTTTGATAATTACTTCTTAATGTCTTCGAGGAAGATAAACATCCTTCAGGACTCATCTCGGGTCACCCTTGAAGGGCTCGCCTTGGCGGGGTCATAGCCAGGGGTCACCCGTATACCTAAAGGTATGTGAGACCTTCTGGCGTCTATGGGAAAGTCTTGTGGGTTTGTAAAATACCGTGGTCACCATCACATCTGTTACGCCAAGAATCAACGAATAACTAATATGAACCCTAAACTAATATTATATCTTAATCTAATATTAACCCCTAAATTAATATTACTACTTAAACTAATATAATAACCTAATACTGTATACCTTAAATTAATATTATAACTGATATTATAACAAACTAATATTATAACTAATATTATATCTTAAATTGATATTACACTTTTATTTTAAACAAATAATATACCTGAAATTAATTTTATAACTTAAATTATTATTCCTTAAACATTTTTTAAAGGAATAAGGCTAGTTATTCCTTATTAAAAAAAACTTCTTTTTTAGTCAAAACATCTTGACTAAACCTTAACCTTATACCTTGAACTAAATTATGGCTAATAAAAACATCAGGAAAAGTAAAGTTTACGGTAAAGTTAGTTTATGCCAGGTAGTTAAAAGTTAGTCTTTTTACAAGAAGTATGGAGATTGAAAAATAAAACTCTTTTTCTTCCTGGAGTTCAGTTCCACCAGACTACCCCTTTTAAAGCAACCCGTCCTCAAACCAAGTCCATTCCATCCAGCGTTCGACTCCTAAGACGTATTCATCATTTTTAACATGCTCTTCATTCAAAACTGGAATTTTCTCACATGTAAATTAATATTGTGATATATTAGCATACTGTGCATATTTAGGCATTGGTTAGGTTAGGTGTTTAGGTTCTGTTGGCGATTATTTGAATTTGTAGTACGTGGGTGAAGCATTAACAGCGTTGTGGTTCGACAACCCGTCCTCGACTCAAGTCCATTACATCCAGCGGTCGACCCCACAGACGCATTTATAAATTTTTACATGCTGTTCATTCAAAACAGGAATTTTCTTAAATATAAATTAATATTATAGTATATTAGCATATTGTGCGTATATAGGCATAGGTTAGGGTAGGTTAGGTGTTTATGTTCCGTTGGCGATTATTTGTATTTGTAGTACGTGGGTGAAGTATTTACAGCGTTGTAGTTCGAACAAAATTCGTCAGTGAAGCACTTGTTCCAGAAGTGTTCGAACGTCAACAGTTGTGAGTCGTGTGTAAACCGTTTTTCATTCATAAACAGGGGGTTTGGCGGGTGCATGGAATCACTTTTGGCCTTTGTTTATGAGAACGGGCTGTTTAAAGATCTTCATATAAACAATGACATATATCAAATGTGCCACAGGTCATTAGGAGTCTCTGTTGCACACAGAGTATTGTCCGACCGTTTGATAGTTTCAATCGCAATTTAGACACGAATATATGAATGAGTTTGACCGAGTAAATAGGAGCTACCTCTCACGGGTCAATAGAATTGATGGAGTTTTCTCCATTCATGAAGTTATGCAATAGAATATTATGCAATTCATGAGATTGCTATCACGAACCTTATCAAACTATTTTGGGTAGAGGGAGGTATGTAATATTTTGGGTAGAGAGGCATTATATAAAAACAATGGAGGTAAATATCTGTTCCGGGAGACGGTATGTCAGCTGTCTGTTGGCAGACCGCGGGTCGTCAATATCCCTCCAACCAGCAAAGTAGTACTTTCATATTTTTGGTGATTATGGGTAACCGGTAGAATATATATATAAACATTTTGTTAATGAAACGTAAACTCTTATATTTGCTACAAGTAGGGTATTGCCAAATGGGAATATTTAGTTATTATTCAATGCTGATTGAACATCTTGTATTGAGGGGCTGACTGTCAGAGGGCGTCCACTCCTCAGTGGACCACAAGATGGCGGAAGGTGAAATATAGTTGGACAGACGCTCTTGGTTCTAGCGTGTTTCCCCCCTCGCCAGATTGTCAGATAAGCCACAGTTCATATTAATTTAACTTGCAGGGGGTATCTTCATGTCATTTGATTATGTTTTACATTCAACTACTCGGAACACAATTTCCATGTAGCACGGGCTGCAGTGAGCCCGTAATTAAGTTGGGTTATTCACGATAACTTTGTTATTGTGATATCTGGGTCAAAGTATTAAATGAAGGTAGAGTTTCCTTCTTTTCGCACTGATTTAGTCTTGTTTTAATAACATTGCCTTGGTGGGGGATATAGATGCACAGTGTTCACTAGTGTGTCCCATTCTTCAACTGTTTTTTTTTAACAAATGTAGTCGCTGTGTAGTTTGCATTTAATGCAGCTGCTCTTGTTGGTTGAATGTTGAGTTTGATGGACAGGGCTTCACTTGCTTCACATTCCAGTAAGTAATGCAATAGTGGCATTTTCTACATCTGTTCCACAGATATGACACTTTAAGTATTGAGATTATTACCTCCCAGCAGCACTTGTAGCCAAGTCTGGGTGTGTGTGTATGGCGACTGCAGTGTCTCTGGATAGGTTTTTGCCAGGCTTGAAAGAGGCGTACCCAGTGCCCTGTTCGTGCCACATCGCAGTGGATCTTTTTTCCGCTACTTTGGCTTTGACTGCTGGATAACCGTTTATCCAGCAACCCGTCCTCCAAACAAAGACCCAAAAGTGATTACATGCACCCGCCAAACTTCCTGTTTATGAATGAAAAACGGTTCATACACGACTCACGACGGATTTCTTTCGAACACTTCCGGAACAAGTGCTTTACTGACGAATGTTGTTCGAACCACAACGCCATGAATGCTTCACCCGCGTACTACTAATACAAATAATCGCAAACAGAACTTAAACACCTAACTTAACCTATGCCTATATATATGCACAATATGCTAATATATTATAATATTAATTTATATTTGAGAAAATTCTCGTTTTGAATGAACATGTAAAAATTTATGAATACGTCTGTGAAGTCGGCCGCTGGATATAATGGACTTGAGTCGAGGACGGGTTGGTTTATCAGTCATAAATAGGAGGGTTGGCGGGTGCATGGAATCACTTTTGGGTCTTTGTTTGGTGGACGGGCTGCGCTGCAACCCGTCCTCGACTCAAGTCCATTACATCCAGCGGTCAACCCCACAGACGCATTCATTAATTTTAACATGCTGTTCATTCAAAACGGGAATTTTCTCAAGTATAAATTAATATTATTAAATATTGGGATATTGTGTATATATAGGCATAGGATAGGTTAGGTTAGGTGTTTAGGTTCTGTTGGTGATTATTTGTATTTGTAGTACGTGGGTGAAGCATTTACAGCGTTGTGATTCGAACAAAATTCGTCAGTGAAGCACTTGTTCCGGATATGTTCGAACGTCAGCAGTTGTGAGTCGTGTGTAAACCACTTTTCATTCATAAACGGGGGATTTGGCGGGTGCATGGAATCACTTTTGGATCTTTGTTTGGAGGACGGGCTGCTTTTAGAACACGCTTTTGCTCAACATAGTCACCTCGTCGGTGTTGTTGCAACAATACTTTGTTTCAAAATCTGCAACTGAAACCTTGCAACAATAGCACCCACGTGACAATATCCATCTGTTCACAAAATTTAACATTAACGCAAACAGTAAAACATGTATAGGTCGTCGAATACTTAATTCGGTACCAAGAATAGAAGATTATCCTGGAATGACATTGCAAATAAAGCTGCAAAAATAACTACTAAAAGGAGAGATGTAGACTTCACTTACCACAAAGTAGCACACACATTAGGGCAAACATTAGCAGCTAAAGCAATGCAAAAGTACAGAGACCCTAACACAGTAGTTACAATGACAGAATATGCGGATGCTAACAAGAATTAGATTATTATGAACCACTTATTTTGACGAAAGGGCACAATAGAAGAAAAAGAGGTACACACAAACCGCATCAAGCTTAAATCCGTGTGTGCCTGAGCAATAGGCTTCCAGGTTCCAGAAGAAGAAAAGAAGTGGCCGACAGACCACAAACATTATGAAATAAAGCGCAAAGTTATAAATTAAATCAGACGACAATTTAATTTGATAGCGCAGAAGAAATTGTCAAACACATTGGACAAAACTTCATTGAAACCAACACGCGAGACAGTCATCCACCACCAAATACTGACACGAGTAATATACCAGGCCAGCTTGGGACCTGCGCAGTAACGTCCCTAACAAAACAGAAGTACAGTAGCTTTTGGTAGTGTGGTAGATACTAAATTACCGTAGTATTTAGTAATGTGGTATTGCAGTAATGGTTCAATAAGGTTAGAATAGGATAGTTTATTACACTTGATTAAGCTAGGTTACATTTGGCTAGGAGTAAGGTTTGCTAAGCTACGTGTGATTAGCAAGGCTAGAATAGCTTTGATTACATTAGGTTACATTACTTTGTCAGATTAGGTTAGATTAGGGGGAGCCTAAACTAACCTCCCCCAAACCTAATACGTTAGGGTAGGGGGAGGGGCGCAATAGCAGACACATTTAGTATTTTGTAAATTTTCTTTGTATCTAACACCGAGGTGGACGAAAGATTTTAAGAAGGACGCTGTGGACGCCGTATAATCAACTAATTATTGTTTAACTCAAGTTTAAATAGTAGCTGGTGGCAGGCGGTGAAAACTGGTGACAGACAATGGTAGCAGTTGACAAGCAATGGTAGTTGGTGGCAGGCGATGGTAGCTAGTGGAAGTCGATGGCATCTGGTTGCAGGCAGTGGTAGCTGGTGGCAGTGGGTTGTTGCTGATGATAGGGGGCTGGCAACTGGTGGCAGTCGGTGGTAGCTGGTGGTAGTGGGTTGTTGCTGATGATAGGGGGCTGGCAACTGGTGGCAGGGGATGGCAGGCGGTGGTAGCTGGTGGTAGTGGGTTGTTGCTGATGATAGGGGGCTGGCAACTGGTGGCAGGGGATGGCAGGCGGTGGTAGCTGGTGGCAGTGGGTTGTTGCTGATGATAGGGGGCTGGCAACTGGTGGCAGGCGGTGGTAGCTGGTGGCAGTGGGTTGTTGCTGATGATAGGGGGCTGGCAACTGGTGGCAGGGGATGGTAACTGGTGGAAGCTGGTGGCAGGGGGGTGTGAGGGCGGGCGCGTGTGCGGGCGTATTGACGTGTGCGCGGGTGTGGTGGAGCGGGACGAGGGTCGGCAGTCGGGTGCTGGCGCCACACCGTCCTGCCGGACCCCGCTGCTGTTCCCTGCCTGCCACTGCCGCACCCCGCCTCCACCCCAACCTCTCACCATAGCCACCTACCACAACCACCACCACCGACAGCGTCTTCTCCCACCAGAGGCGTATGGCGCCCCTTGCGACGTTAGTAAGATGAGCTTGTGAGAAGTGTTTCCTTCTCGCCCCACGACACACTCAAAATGAGCGTGTGAGAAGTGTGTTTCCGCCCCGCTTCATTACACACTCAAGATGCCCTTCCGCCTCCCACCCCTCTCCGCCTTCGTAGAGAGCGCCGCGGCGGTGTGGGATGTGGCCAAGAGCACCATACCCGAATCTTGTCTCGGGGGCCCCGACGAACGCCTCAACTTCGCCAAACACGGGCGTAACCGTGGCGATGTTGAGATGACAGCCGTGAGTAACGAAGAGGGCGTCCCTGGGGAGGGGGGCGTCCTTCCTGAAGGGCAGCCGCCCCTACAGAGGGAAGGCTCTGTGGGCAGCGTGTCCACCACGGTTGGGGTGGAGTGCGCGGATAACGACCAGATCACGGAGTGGCAGGCGGGATGGAACGTCACCAACGCCATCCAGGTACTGTCCACGATCCCCCCCCCCTCCCTAACACCTTTAATGTTATCTTCTTCCCTTAGTCGACATTAATGGCCGTCATATCAATTCTTGGTCTTTATGGTCATGCCGTCCTCTTTGTGGTCATCACTAGTTATTTTCATGTCCAATAATAAAACGCTGGTGCTCTTGCTCTCTTTCCTCCATCATAGATATCATCACCTAGGCTGATGACGTCTATGATGGAAAAATGAGGCTTGAGGCTAAGTGAGGTTTTCCTAGGCTTCATCACCTAGTTATTCCTTCCTACACCTCAACAGCTAGTTAATCCTCCTTTGATCTCCACCTAGTTATTTCTCCCTAGGCCTCACTATCTAGTTATTCCTTCCTAGGCGTCACCACCTAGTTATTCTTCAGTAGGTCTCATCACCTACTTATTCCCAAGGCTTCGCCACCTACGTATTTCAACCCTAGGCCATACCTCCTACTTATTCCTCCCTAGGCTCACCACATACTTATGGTAAGTAGGTGGTGAGCCCTAGGCACACCCCCTACTTACTCCTCCCTTGGCCTCACGACCTAATTATAATAAACCTTCCCCAGGCTTCACCACCTACTTATTCCTCCCTAGGCTACGCCACCTAGTTATTTCTCCATAGCCTCTCCACCAATATATTCCTTCCTAGGCCTCACGACCTAGTTATTTATCCTTAAGCCTCAACACCTAGTTACATTTCCATATGCCCCTATCATTCAGTTATTTCTCCATAGGCCTCGCCATCTGGGCTAATTCATCCTTAGACATCACCACCTAGATATTTCTCCATAGGCCTCACCACCTAGATATTTCTCCATAGGCCTCACCACCTAGATATTTCTCCATAGGCCTCACCACCTAGATATTTTCATCCTTAGACATCACCACCTAGATATTTCTCCATAGGCCTCACCACCTAGATATTTCTCCATAGGCCTCACCACCTAGATATTTCTCCATAGGCCTCACCACCTAGATATTTCTCCATAGGCCTCACCACCTAGATATTTCTCCATAGGCCTCACCACCTAGATATTTCTCCATAGGCCTCACCACCTAGATATTTCTCCATAGGCCTCACCACCTAGATATTTCTCCATAGGCCTCACCACCTAGATATTTCTCCATAGGCCTCACCACCTAGTGACATCTGGCCTGATATAATATCCTTGAGGGAGTGGAATGTCTTCCTGATGATGGTGGTCATCTTTGCTTTCCTTATACCTTCTTAATACATTTTCTCCCCAAGACTCTCCTAATAATATTAGCTACTAATCGTATTAGTTTTTTTAATTTATTTGACATGCTGCTTTCTTTTGTTAATTCTTTTTGTATAATTTATTATTAGCATAATTTCTCTTGGAATTATTTTCTCACTTTTCATGTCCGTTTTTCATATTTATTTTTCCTGGTGGCAATTTATAGTCTTCGAGTAAGGTTAGTCAATAGTTATTTTTATTCACTTCGATTTTTCAGACAGCTCTTTGTCTGCAAATAAATATTGTCTGGGTTATTTATTTTTAGCCACAGATCTAACTTCAGGTTATTTTACTTCATCGATTTTTTTCCTTTTTCTTGGCTGTCGTTTATCGCCTGTTCGTGTAAGCATACTCATCCTGTGTTACTTTACCACACCATCCCCTCCCCTCCTTTTTTTTCACTAGGGTTCATTATAAATTGTTCTAATGTGCGTAATGAAACAGCACGCTAAGTACTGGTATACTACTTTCTCGTCGAAGACCTGACTTTAGAAATTGATTTACTTGAAGTGCTTTTATTAGTTTTCTCGTAAGGAATATAGTTTATTTAATGATAATTTACAGTCAGATTTGGTACAGGACGAAACTGTAGCCAACTGTGTGTCAGAGCCTTCATATGGTCGATCGACTTGATTTCTCACGTTTCTACATGTTGACGAAGCCTAGTGCATCACTAGATCTATTGATACGAAGAAACCAATCCCCCTTTGTCAAGTACATTATGAATAGAATGGGATCTGGTACTATTGTCATACTTCACTCTTTTGTCTGTGTGTGTGTGTGTGTTTGAATACAGGATCAAGCTCTTAGCTCTTGGACGCTGCCTTTCTAACCGTCGACTTTCTAATGAGCTATTTTTCTTCCGGCTTATCAAAAGCATATTTCTATCTTAACACACACACATCCCCAGGAGGCAGCCCGTACCAACTGTCTAACTCCCATGTACCGATTTACTGCTAGGTGAACAGGTGAATCCGGTGAAAGAAACTGCCCATTTGTTTTTGCCTCGATCCGGAATCGAACTCGGGCCTTTAGGGCTACGGCCCCCGAGCTCTGTCTCCTCGGCTGCGAGGGCTTGTATGCGTGTACTCGCCTAATTGTGCTTGCGGGGGTTAAGCTTTGGCTCTTTGTCCCGCCTCTCAACCCTCAATTAACTGGTGTACAGATTCGTGAGTTTATTGGGCTCTATCATATCTAAATTTGGAACTGTGTATGGAGTCGGCGTCTTCCACATCACTTCCTAATACATTCAATTGATTATTTGGAATAAATTGATTTTAATTTTATTCAATCAAATTTATTCACTTCAATATTACTGACACTGAACAAGTTTTTTTCTAACGTGTCTATGGGTCATTTGGGTACTCAGTTTTCACTTGTGTCCCCTTGTGAGTGATACACCGTTGTTAAATAATGTAATTGTTTACCCTATTAATTCCTCTGAGAATCTCGTACGTGGTGATCATGTCTCCCCTAACTCTTCTGTCTTCCACGACGTGAGGTTTAGTTCCTATACTCTCCTCGTAACTCATACCCGTCAGCTCGGGTATTAGTCTGATGGTATGACTTTGACCCTCGCCCAGTTGTACTTGCCTATTTGTGCTTGAGGGGGATGAACTTCGGTTCTTTGGCAGTTGAGAGGCAGGAGCAATCAACTAGTGTGCAGATTCCTGAGCCTATTGGGCGCTATCATATCTACATGTGAAACTATATATATTCACTTCCACATCACTTCCTTAAGCATTTCGTGTGTGGCTCATTTGAGTACTAAGTTTTTACCTGGATCCCCTTGTCCCTGTATCTAAATAAATGTATCCTATGCTAAATAGTTTGTCATCTATTGTCAATATATCCCTATCAATTCCTATGAGAATTTTGTAGGTGGTAATCATGTCTCCCCTAATTCTTCTGCCTTCCAGTTTCATGAGGCTTTTACCCGTTCTTCCTTGTTCTATTGGCATTCAGTGTGAATATTTCTTCTATTTCCCTTAAGTATTTTATACATGTCTAGCATATATCTCCTCTTTTTTTTCCTAGCGTCGTCAGTTTCAATTCTTTCAGTCGCTCTTCATATCCCATCCCTCGCAATTCTGGGACGATCCTCGTTCCAAACTTCTGAGCCTTTTCCAGTTTCCTTAAGTGTTTCTTCGGGTAGAAGCTCCATGATGGAGAGGCGTACTTTAAGACTTGTCTCACATAGGCGGTGTAAAGCGTTCTTAATGCATCCTTATTTAGGTTCCTGAATGATGTTCTAACTTTTGTTAGCGGAGAGTATGCTGCATACGTTATCGTACTTACATGTACTTCTGGAGTTTGGTTTGGTGTTACGTGCACTCCCAGTCTCTTTCTCGAGTCGTTACAGGTAGGTAGATTTTTCTTATTATAGCGTAATGTCCCTTTGGTCTCCTGTCTTCTGTTTCCACTTCCATCACTTCACACTTGCTCGTGTTGACCTCCAGTAGCCATTTCTCCGACCACCTCTGCAAATTGTTTGTCATCTTGGAGAATCCTACAATCCTCATCTCTCACAACTTCTCGTTAATTTCGCGTCTGCAAACCTAGACACATAAGACTCAACTCCTGTAGACAAGTCATTTGCGTATATTAGAAATAGAATTTGTCCAAGGGCCGATCTTTGAGGTACTCTACTTGTTACTGTTCGCCAGTCCGACTTCTCGCCCTTTTATGTTACTCTCTGGCTCCTGCCTGTCAGGTAATTCCTTACCCATATTAGGGCTTTTCCGCTTACTCCCGCCTGCCTCTCAGGTTTGTATAGTAATGTCTTGTAAGGTACCGTATCAAAGGCTGTTTTTGCTGCCCAGAAATATACAATCTGCCCATCCTTTCCTGCCCTGCTTTATTGTTGATACTTTATCATAGAACTCCAGCAGGTTTGTTGTGAATGATTTCCCTTCCCCGAACCCATGTTGGTGTTTGTTTACATAATACTAGTCTTAACCTGTTTGTTATTTCAGGTAGTTTGCAGGAATGCTTGTCAGTGATACCGGTCTGTAGTTAAGTGCCTCTTATCTATCTTGAAAATTGGTACCACAATTGCTTTCTTCCAGCAACTGGAAGATCCTTAAAGATCCTAGCTAGAGGTACGCCTGAGGGCCTGTGCTGCCTCTTTTAGTATCCACGGTGATACGTTATCTGGTCCAACTGGTGTAGTTTTATTCTGTGTTTAGTTTTCTTTACCTCTGCTGTCACCCTCGGCAGTATCTTTCTCGAATATGTGTGTGTGTGTGTGTGTGTGTGTACTTTCCTAATTGTGCTTGCAGGGGTTGAGCTCTGGCTCTTTGGTCCTGCCAACTCAACCGTCGCCCCTCAACCGTGTGTGTGTGTGTGTGTGTGTGTGTGTGTGTGTGTGTGTGTGTGTGTGTGTGTGTGTGTGTACATGCTTACTTTCTCGCTCGTTTTCACGAACCACTTCGCTCGTATAATTAAATTTTTCCAAGCACTTGCCCAGTCTTGGTGCAAAAACTTAAACCAATATGGCCGGAGGATCAGCGTCCGCTCTTCTTTGGCTGGTATATTTCTTGGCGAGTTTCCTCCTAGTGGTGGTGGTGGTGGTACTTGTTAACAGTACTTACCTACCAGTGTCTACGGGTAAGTGAGGTCTAGGTCTATATGCCCCGTCTATTTGCCATGTTGTACCTGTTGCCTTACAATCTAATTATTTTCACTATTAATTTTGTTATCGAATCTGGCCTAAAAGTTGTGGATGG